CATTGATTTTAACTTCTAAACCTACATTTTCAGGGTCAAGGATTCCAATGATGGTAGTTACAAAGGTACTACATGTTACAACATTAACCCTTCGATGCATGAGTCGGTAGAAAATGACCTGTGCAAAGTTTTTTTAAGTATACAAAAACAAATTGATTTGATTATTTTTCATCAAATACTCTATAATAGACCATTATCTTATATAGATAAATATAAAATATCTATAAATTCAATTCAGGCAAAAAATCTTATGCGACCACAGTTTTTCGTCTCCTATAGCAACGGCCCTGTTCTTCAGACTTCTGATTTTCTTCTGATATTTGTTGTGGACCACACATAGCCTACTATATGAGAAGTGTCATCCTTCAAGGTTATTTTACACATAATTTGATACATGTACAGTAAGTATTATCTTCATTTTTACCTCAGAAAAGTTCAACAGGTTTTATGTCTATAACATCCCATTTAAGCTAGCTAACATTACTATTGTGTCATTCATGATGTCATGATGTTATCATCTTGTATCATCAAATTAAAATACAGTAGTTTGCTAACACTACAAAAAAATATATATATGTAGCACCAAATTGCAACTGAAGTAATCTATATACGGCCACTTTTCACTCTTTTATCAAAGAGCCCCAAAGCAGTAAACCTAGGGGAAACACTGGTGTGTGTGTGTGTGTGTGTGTGTGTGTGTGTGGGGGGAGGGGGGAGTAGAAGCTGCCTGCTCGGAGGGTAAAGACATCAAGGCTGAATCTGTGAAGCAAGTCAACAGGACCCTCCTGGAGGCCACTGCTGAAGTCATCACAGCATTCCAAGAATGGGAGGAACAAAAATCCCAGCATGCGATGTTCAAGGCCATGATGAGCTACCTACATCGGGTGGAAACAATGCTGTTCTTCGTAGCAGCAACTCGGAATGCTGACCTTGAATTCCATCTGCAGGCTGGAGAACCACTGAGCAAGTTGTTCTTTGCCATGGATCGCATCAAGTAAAGAGACTCTGGCCAAGATACATCGCAGACATGCATGACTTGAGGATCAATCACCCTCAGACCTGGGAGGAACTACACGCAGGTAATATATCTGTCACCAAGAGTGTCATTCCCTTTGTGTCTGTTGGGGCAGACCACGCATGCGAACATCTGAACAAGCTGATTAAGATTCGCTCTGGGATTATTGGCATCTCTAACAATGCCAATGCCAGACAGAGATTTGTCATGGTCACACCAGAACTTTCACGTCTGTCGAAAGAGTTCAAGAGTCAATTTGACATGGAAGCTGACAGAACCACAGAGCACCATGAGCTTGGGCCAAGTGCAGTCAAGAGGGCACATGGTACAATCGACAAGATCAAGGCAGCCATACTCAGTCATGGAAACCCCTTTACTACTGAAGGTGACAAGCTGTACAATGTAATCACACTTGCCTACATCCCAGATGAGTATGTACCACAGATCTTGAATGCTGATGTCACTGGCCAGAAGTTGTATGAAGACTATGTGTCAGAGCGGATCAATGGAGATGTCAGCCTCTGGGCCCCTGTGAAGAAAGTGAACAATAAGATGTTCCTGTCTGGGAACAAGAAGATTACAGTGAAACTCAGGGACAATACTGTGGATCTGAAGGAGACCAAGGACCTGTTTGCAAGGCTGATGGTACTTGCCAGGTCAAACCGAGACATCAACCAGAAAGAGGCCATAGGAAACTATGAATTTACTCTAACACCAAGGGCACTGTTCACTTCTAATGGAACAATCCTGCCATGCCATGACAAGTCCAAGTTAATCAATCTCCTTGAGAAGCTGACAAGAGAAGATGTGCCCCATGAAGACCATCAGCTGCCTCAAGCTGGAAGTACTACCCTCCAAGATGCAATGGATACAGGATTCACAGACACCACATCTACTGATCAGCCAAGTCGAAAGATAGCACTGGTGGACGGCATGGTGCTTGTGCAGAGGCTGAGCAAAAAACCAGCCACTGTAGTGACAGTCAAGGATCTGAATGGCTGCTTCAATGACAGACGTCACTAACAAGAGATTATGATGAAATCATCCTTGTGTTCGACACATACAGGACAGATTCTCTGAAGAGTGCAACCAGAGATAAACGAAGACAAGGAAAAGCTATCCAGTACCAAGTCAGAGATGACACCAACATCAAACACATCCCACTGAGCAGGTTCCTCTTTCATGACCAGACGAAGGCCGATCTGACTGACTATCTTGCAGCCAAAATTCTAGAATACAACAGGGGATCCTCCAAGCTGATCATCACGTCAGCTTCTGGGAACACTATAGGAGCAACAAAGACCTGCTCTTTGAAGAAAATAACCACGAAGAAGCAGACACGCTGCTGATCCACCAGGCTGTGCTGGCATCACACCGAAACCCAGCTGATGCACGGTTGATGTTCTTCTCACCAGATACAGACATACTAGTGCTAGTCACAGCAAACTATGATCTCTTGCTGAAGAACACATCAATTTCGATGGCCTCTGGTGTTGTGCAGATTGAACCACTGTGGCGAGCTATAGGTAAAGAAAGAGCAAAGGCATTGCCAGCTTTCCATGCATTCACTGGGGCCGACAACACAGGCAGGTTCTCCCGTATAGGCAAGGCAACCTGGCTGCAGATCTATTTAAAAGCAGATGAAGATATTATCAATGCTCTGCAGATGCTTTTGGATGAAGCAGAAGTGGCGGAAGGAATGCTGTCCACACTGGCTTCCTTTGTATGTGCAGCCTACTCACCCAAGGGTATCAACATAAAGACAATCCCTGAACTACGATGGCATCTCTTCTGCAAACACAGGGCAGAGAGTGACAAGCTCCCTCCAACACTTGGAGCTCTGAAGCAGCATATCTTGAGGGTCCATGTCCAAACCAGGGTATGGGCACAGGCAGCCATTGCTCTGCAGGATCCGCAGCTGGATCCCCTGCACAATGGGTACTTCAGAGACTCGGATGGCATGAAACCAACAACCACAGAGGTCCTCCCAGCCCCAAAGGCCATCATTGAGATGATCCAATGCAGATGTAAATTTAACTGTTCTTCTGGAAGATGTTCCTGCAGAGCTAATGACTTAGCCTGTACTGATATGTGTCAGTGCAGTAGCCAGTGCCAGAACAACGATGATTCCCATGCCGTGATGGATGAAAGTGTTGATGATGATAGTGATGATGATGCATAGATGTGTATACATTTAGATGTCTAATGAAGAAGGTTGCTTCTTTTCTGTGGTCACAAAATGTGCATGTCATGATGATACTAGGGAGGCTTGTGGTGCAGTGGGTTGTGTGTTGGTGTTCGGATCAGGGGGTCACAGGTTCAAACCCCACTGCAGTCAGCATGTCGTTGTGTCCCTGGGCAAGACACTTCACCCCAAATTGCTCCTGTGGGGATTGTCCACAGTATTGAGTATGTAAGTCGCTTTGGATAAAAGTGTCTAACAAGTAACATGTAATGTAATGTAATGATACTGAGGTTCACAATTTTAAACTCAGTTTAATCAGTTAATGCCAATTATCTGTTAAGTCCTCAATAAAAGTGATGTTAACATGCAATTTAGTGAGTTCTACCTAATTATTGTTGGCACCATTGGATTCCTTGATCCTGAAAATGTGGGTTTAGCAGTTCAAATCAATGTTCAAGCTTATTTAGAAGTCAAGATATTACAAAACCTACATTTTACGGCGGCCATTTTGGAAATTCCAATATGGCCGCCATATAAACACCTGGGCAAATGGAAACATGGATTTTCTGAATCCTTATACAATATCCTTTCCAAAAATGTATAGTATTGCAAATCCCCACAAAAATCCCACAAAAGTATATAGTGAACCTGACTAAACGTTGGATGAAATAACATTAGGAGAACGGATTAATAGCTGTTCATGGTTACCGTGTGTTGCTAACCTTATCCGGTATCCTAGCCTAATCTGTTATCTGTAAACGTTCCCTAAATCTACTGATTTAGGGATAATCCACTAACATCCTTTAATACACATGTTCATTTGACTCAGATGTGCTGATAATATCTGCAATATAAATCTTTAAACGTCTTCTTACCTTTAAAAGTCCATCACGAACGGTCTATTATGCTGCAACTCTACTGTGTTGCTGGTCGCAAAAGTTCCCCGGAAGTCAGCGGCAAGCTAACTTCCGGGGAACTATTGACGGCTGCACGATCCGCCATTGCTGTAAAAAAACTGGTCCATTGGAGTGAACGGAGATGTCGTAACTCTTCTATTATACGGCTCTGCCCCAACCCATAGATCCGTGGGTGAATAATGTCAATCACCACATTACACACACACATTTTAATTTACATTAAAGTATTTCGTGAGGCCTTCTAAAATGTTTTAAAATGCTTGGCAACGCAATCACACAACGTCACATCCGTTAATTCCACATCCTCACCTCCACACACATGGATTAACATCGATTTAATACATTAATGTAGCCTTTGTTTCTGCTAAAAGAGGTGTCGACCAGCTAGGGCAACAAGAAAATCGGCGAAATCAAGTGTCATGATTAAAAAATAAATTAAAAACATCTCATTTTGACAATAAAAACCGACCAATAGGCGCGGTAGACCATTTGCTAGGCACTTCCGGGTATTTCTCCACTGGTTGGGCCATGTTAACAATACCGTGTAACTGTCACGTTTGAAGGGACGAAACCGTGACATATTCACGTCTCCCAGCATGGTAGATCATCACATGTTCACGTCTTGCCGTGATACCGGGTTGTTATCAATAGAGCTGTAACAGATTGTCTCATTTTCTGTGTATTTGTGACATGCATGAGCTCAGTTTCTATGGCAATATGCCTTATTCTCTTGATTAATGTAGCGATAATCAGGCACAAAAGTTGCACATACACTTTTCTTAAATCCTGAATTGTTATGTGATGTTATGTTGAGTATATATTGTGTATGTTCATAATCAGCCATGTGTAAATCATGCATCATTGTGTGTGTCGATGTAAATACCAGCTCATCGTTGTTGCTGGCGATGAAGTTGGGGTTTCCAAATGGAACCAGGAGCATCTTGCTGTAGGAGTGGATGGTGAGGAAACACAGGAAGTCTTCTCTCCGGTTTCCTACGAAATAAGTGACGGCCTGGGCCTCGGGCTCGGACACAGGTTTAGTCCCGCAGAAGATGGGGTCGCAGCAGTCGAAGGAAGCCTCGAGCGCTGTGGAGGCAGCCAAAGAAATTGAATTATCTAGTGGTGAGCAAGTTTTATATTTAAAGGTTCAGTTTGTAAGATTTAGTAGCTTTTGATAGGAAAAGTATTTTTTGTGTCAAAAGAAATACCCTTTCCATCGCAACATAATTGAAAATGCAGGTCGTTTTTAGGAGGCAAAACTGGGGCTTTGGAATTTGAAAGATTATTAAGGGTATTCACTTATGACAAGTAGTGCATCAGTTGCATTGTGGTAATTGTAGGATGCCAGCATTTTGGCGCTCTACCACGCTCTCGAATACCCCTCGAAAACAAATTGTTCAGTGATTAGACATCTTCAGTAACATCTATGTGTGATACCCGCATACCCATGATTATCAGAGCAATACATAGAGCATAATGGCCATCTAAATGAGCAGATGGAGAAGCAAAACAACACTCACTGCCCCAGTTGGCGTTAAAGTTGCGGTTGAGGTCTGTGCCGTAACAGGTGCAGTTTAAAGGTCCCGGTGACCTGTTCTTCCTCCACAGTCGAGTCTACGGGTCAAAAGGGTTCACTCGGTTAAATCGGTTGGTTCCGGGTTGTTCTATTAAGAAATGAACAGGGCACTTGCACATACTTCCATACTGCCTGGGATTGCTGTTTGATATCATTTTCCATTCATATTATATTGAAAACGAGATGATTTGGTACTTGTGTTGAGCACCATGAATCAATTTATTCACTGATTGAATTGTAGCTCACTGTAACTTAACTGCCTCTGCTTTAATAGGACTATCATTCTCTCATATCCTGCTCTTCTGTGGCTCGAGAGCTTGAGGCTTAAGCCAGAAAGGTAATTTGATAAAAATCCATCAAACTCAAGCACTGACTGTGTTGTCCTTCCAGGAGTGGATGTATCCGTCTATGTTGAGCACGGGGGTGACATAGAAGTCCATATTCGTCATCATCGCTTGCATCTTTGGGTCTGTTTTGTATGCTTGAAGGATCTGATTTGAGGAAGTGTCAGATTAATATATTGGAAGATATGTTGTACAAAATCATTTTTCGCTTAAAGGAAAATTATGTTGTTTTTTTAATTACCTCTCTGACAAAGTACTGACAGAAGGCCGGGGTGATCCATTCTCTGGCGTGTATACCACAGTCCATCCAGATAGCTTTCTTTTTCTCCCCCGTATTAACGCCGATCTGGAACACAAATTCATATAGCTTCTTATTTGGCTACTGTAGAACACAAACACACACAAAACAACAATACCCCAGTATCATTATGGTATTTGCCCACTTCTGATCTGTTTCAGAAATCAATGGTAAAAGTGGCAACAGACAACCTTTTTGGTTCAACTTCTCATTCTGAAATAAATGTTGATTGCCCAACGTGATGGTAATTCTGTAGAAGAATGACTTCATCAGCCTTCAGAGTGGTTTCCCATAAGCCCAATGCATTTGTGTCTGGGAAATTATGGCTCAATTATGCGTCACAAAAAATGTTTTTCACATAAAGAGTCAAAAAGTTGGTTTACCTTGAGCAAGCTAATATTCCTCTTCTCATAGGTCTGTCCATATTCCACTATAGTCACAACTTCAGGGTAATTCTTCACAGCCTGAACCATCCAGTCTGTGATCTGTAGGGTGGAATACACACAACACACATTAGATTATGTGTGTAGTGGTCTGTCATAAATAAAAAGTGTAAGTATCTGCTTTCTCACCTCTGGCATTGGATGGTATTTGTAGTAGTCATACTCCACCCTGTTGCACATCCAAATACATGAGACACAGAGGAACAAGACATCAAATTGCTAATCAACCATTTCGGAGTCTTCAAAAGTAACGTGTTACTGCATTCGCCTTCTTTAAGTCAGTATTTGACCCAAGATGTGACTCACCTCTCCACTGTGGCTGCTCCCACCACTGAAAGCAGCACCACAAGGCACAGACCCACCGAGAAAAGCATTGCCACTTTTTGAACGTAAACTCCTTGTTTGCAACTGTTGCTGACACTGACCCTAGCCTTTATAGAAGACGCGCATCAGATAAAGATACACCTTTCCCTCGACTGTGGACTACTTACGCTATCACTGTGTTGGTTAATGATTCATCTGGGCTGAGATGCTTCCCTTTATTCCTTAGAACACGAGGGGGGCGTTAATTATTCTTAGTAGTTGTGGTTAGTCATTGTTTTGTTTTGATCAGGGTCAGATGGTTTACAAGTTGTTAAAAACATAGCCATAAAAATACTGATCCCACTTTGAGTAACAACTTTCTTTCTCTTGGCGGGATTATCTGTTCCAGTATGACCTTTTTGTTTTCTCAACTGCTCCCTTTTCGTCGCATCCCCTCCAGCTTTCCTCAGCATGTTGTGATTTTTCGTTTGTTATATTTGGTTGTAGCAGTGCCGCCCGCTATTAAACAAAAATATTTTGGCTTTTGGAAATCAGTTTTCTCTTTCTTTTATCCCGGGTTTTTTAATATTTTGTTACTTGCCTTTCTATCTCAGGGGTGTCAACCTCAATTTAATCACGGGCCACATCAGCATTATGGCTGCACTCAAAGGGCCGGTTGTAACTTATAATACATTATTTTATATATATATATTACATTATTGACTCTGCATTGGATTATTATCTGTTAGGGTAATAACTTCATAATTAACTACGTCTGAAAGCAGAAGTCTGGGGCAAATAATTGCAAGTCTCTTCAGTGAGAATGTCACAAAATGATTTAAAAAGAAAAGCTGGAAAAAAAGTGACATTTAAAAAAAAAAAAAAGGAAGTGACATTTAAAAAAAAGGAAGTGACATTTAAAAAAAAGGAAGTGACATTTAAAAAAAAGAGTCAAATTCTGAGAAAAGGGCACATTCTAAGGAAAAAGGCATATTTAGAAGGAAAAAAGTCAAATTCTGAAAAAAGTTGCGATGCATTGTGGGACATGTAGTTTATGGGCAACGTGCTTCTGTAAATCATCATGTAACCGTATAACAAACATATTATATTCTTTGCAAGCTCTTGTGGGGCCACAGAAAATGAAGTCACGGGCCGGATTTGGCCCCCGGGCCTTGAGTTTGACACCCCTGCTTTAATGTATCGCTTACTTGAATGTCCCTCAGATCTTCTTTATCACAACTTTTTAATCAATAATCACTGAGAATACAAGATACAAACGCGGCGCACCTACAGTGTAAGCGCGCCACAGTTTTCGCCGCTGCGAGGCTCCACATAGCACTGGAACTCCCTTCCACAACACATCAGAGACTGCACCGACCCCCCCACTTTCAAAACACTGACCAAAACACACCTCTTCAGACTGGCTTTTAATTTGTGAATTATGTTGTGTTGCTGTTTTAATTTTAATTTTTTATTCTATTTTATCTCGTTTTATCACCACTGTAAAGCGTCTTTGAGCACCTGAAAAAGGAAATTAAATGTATTATTATTATTATTAAATGTAGCGGTGCTCAGGTGGACTGCACGACATTATAGGCTCAATCTAATCAGATTTTCCATTTTTAGAATACCAAGGCAGGGCCGGCCCTTGGCATAGGCAGTAAAGGCGAATGCTAAGGGCGCATCAACCCATGGGGGGCGCCGAAAATTGGGGAGGAGGAGCGAGGGGGGCGGGTCAAGTGTCACTGGCCCAATCCCAAACCACGCCCTACACCAGGGGTATTCAACTAAAATTCAACGAGGTCCAGTTAGAGAAAATCTCCCCATTTAAAGGTCCGGAACATCAAAATGTCTAACTTGCTTTATGAATTAGTGTGATATATATTGAAGTAGCCTGTAGCTTTATCAACGTCTGCATTTAATCAACAACTGACTGCCAATCAAATAAAGAAAGTACAATTAAAAAACAACAATATTTATTGTCAATTAACATTGAACTATACAGATATACAGTAAATACTGTGGATATGTGTAATGTTCCTCTCGGGCTGCATTTAAAAATAAAATAGAGAAATAAATAAAATAGCTTTGTTAACCGTTTCACATCATGACCAGTGGCGGCCGGTGGTCTTTTTTTTTGGTGGGGCTCTTGACGTACCGTAAGTGACCTACCCGGGGGGTACGGTCCCCCCGGAATTTTTTTTCGAGAAATGACCCCTTAAATGATGACTTCTGGTGATGTTAGAGGGGGGGGGAAAGGACAAATCGAGGCTTAAAAATATGAGAAGACTGATCAATACCTCCATAATCTTCAGTGTGGAAAATATTATTTATCAACCTGAACATCTACTACTTTACCAGGAATTTGTGTTCTCAGAACTGGTCTGTTTTTTTCTTTCTTAAAACTGTTCATGTTTTATGAACCAACACCTCCACCAAGTAGCTTTACAGTGAACTGCATGTGAGATATAAAATTAATAGCATCTTTTCAGTAGCATTAATTATAAATATTTAAGTGGTTCAATACAAGTCACTACAGCATTTCAAACTGAACTGTGAATAAATGCAATTTAAAAAAAATAACCACAGCACAAAATGTCATAAATTGTGTTTTTTCTTTGTTTCTCTGAGGATTATTTACAAACAGGCTTATTTACATATAGCAATAACTCAGAAATGAAAGAGCTACATCGTCTAACACGAACAACCAGTTAGCATAATGATAATATATGTGTTATGTACAATGTAACTGGCAAGGCTAGAGCAAGAAAGAACATAAAGTTTGCAAAAGGTTTAAATAACTTCAAGTATCTGTCTTCAGATTACGTGGAGGTTTTAGTCCGATGGGAAGCAGATTTCAAGCGACACCGAAGATAAACCAAAAATGTGGTGGAGCTGCAAACCGTGTAGTGTTGCTGGGACAGGGCAGGAGCTATAACCGTTGGAAAATACATCACAGACAATGCAACAAACGTGGAGACAGAACAATCACTTATGTGATAAATGCCCACTTATTAATAAACTTCTAACAACCATGGGAAACCTCCTCTCTACATATAAAGTGATATCCAAGCATGGGAAACAAAAGACAGCATTTACCTGTTTGCATCCAGCTAGCCAAGCCTTTTTTGTGTACCAGCTACTTGCGAAGCCTTGTGTATACGTTTTGTCTTTTTCACGAGATTGCTGCGATATATTCAAATCGGGTTGGTCCGGTCCAAGGTCTTTAAGCAACAATTTATCTGCCAAACTTCTCCTTTCGAAAGGATTGGAGATTAGCTCTTGAACAGAATTAGGCGGGGACCGAGGTCCGGAGACTCCACCTGCACACGAAGCCATCCTCATCAACTACTGCGTCAACCGGATACGAGTCACTGTCCAAACTACTCACAGACTGCACGGGGCGCTGACATTGGCACCCCGTGACCGTCATATTTGACGACGCTGATTGGCTGAAATTATGTTTTCGCGGCATAGTTTACACGTTACAGATAGCAACAGTCAGCTGCTAGTGGCTGCTGCTGCACTGGTTGAGGGCTCCTCTCTTAGCGCCCCAGACGAGAGAAGGTACACGGGCAAGGCCAGGCAGGAAACATGTGACTTATCAGTAACTTTAGACATCGTAACACAATTTTAAACGAGATTTTATTGTAGATTATACATTTTACTGATACCAATTATATAATATTTACCTTGTTCATTAAAAATAAAAATAAAAATATATATATTTTTTAAAATATATTTTTTATTTTTATTTTTATTTTTTAATATGGGAAGAGGTGGGGCGGCGCCCCTAGCGCCCCTATGGACCGGCCGCCACTGATCATGACTTAACAGTTTCAGACGATTATAGAACATATCAGTCTTTACACATCATAACAATTGAACAGTTTTAAAGTTTCTCTTTCTTTCCCTCTTATATTGCAGTCCCTCACTCACTTTTTTGTATTCAGTGCGAGAATTGAGCTTGAGCTTGTCCTGCCAGGAGTTTAAATCTGGGCTGAAATTGTGTCAGGGCCATTCTCATACACACATGCAGGTGCTCATTGGTTAGCCTCGGTTAGCCTGCCCTGGAACGATATTTAGTTTTAATTTTGATCCTGGTGGACTGATCATATTGGGCTCTGAGACTGCTTATTTTTTGTGACCTCAGTTCTGACTTGAGAGGGAATGTTTGGTCAAACACTTTGTGTATTGTCTCATAGTGGCGTTTTGGCACTTTTAATCAGGGTTGGGAGGGTTACTTTGTAAATGTAATCGGTTACTGAATACATGGCTCTGAAAGTAATCCGAATACGGTTAGAGTTACGTGTCTTAAAAAAGTAACGTATTCAGATTACTTTTAGAATACTTTATTTTTCCATAACAGATGGGTATGTTTTGGTGAACAGGAGACACTTATTTTACTGTTTTAATGGCTTATCAAGAGCACAACTCAAACACAACATCTTGGTGTCATTCTGGACAGCTCCCTCTCATCTGCACCCCACATAAAAAACATCACCCGGACTGCATTATTTGTACTCTCTTAAACCTTTCCTTAGAATATGTTATGAATTGTCAGGTGTCCTTGGGTGCTTTGAAAGGCGCCCCTAAATAGAATGAATTACCATTATTATTTATTATCTGAAACGACGTAATAACTTTTAAAACTGTTTCCAGTCACTTGCCCCATGCATTCAGCAGCAGCAGGCCATTCACTTTGATTTGATCCCGTTATGAAATGTCATCATTTCGACAATAAAGAAATGCTACATAAACGTTATCTTGCACATTTTATCGAACCATCTCCGTTTCTATATATTTTAAAAGAGATCTCTCTCTCTCTGATCTGCGTGCGGGGACGGGGCCTCACAGACATGCTGCAGCGCTGTGCAGTGTGCACACAGTTCTGCTAGTAATGAATATTACATTTTATGAGGAAACTTTTCCACCAATAATTCCAAAAAGTATTCCAAAATGTATTCACATTCACCGCTTCTCTCCCTGTATCGCTAATTATTCTCTTCACTCACTTTCCTCTCCTCTTCTATCTGCCACTCTCTCATCTCTTCTTCTGTGTTTCTCTCCCTGTATCGCTCACTCGTCTCTTTCGCCCCCTGTCGGCGGCGATTAAAATAGAATCGCCCCGTCAAAATTGAAATCCCCTATTAATGTATTGATTATAGGTCCGGGTCCGTATAGGTCGGCGTCTGGGTCCGGATCCGGCC